AAGAGTGACTAATCCCTGTGGCTCCTTGAAGCCACCCTGAGGAAGGGCCAGCCCAGCACCGTGCCTGGCCACAGGATTTAGGTAAAGGAGAAAAGCCCAGCCAGCATCCTCCAACACCAGGACTGGAAGCCCCATGCTGGGATATAGGGACGCTGGGCTGGCAGGAGCCTCGGGCTCTGCCGCAGCCATGGACAGCTGGGCTGGATGGGGGCTCCTCCCTCCCCATCCATGTGCCCAACACTGGGAATTTGTTTCCTGCAAAGGGGAGGCCACAGCCGTTCTGCTGAGGCTGCGGGAGGACAAGAGCCCTTTCATGCTGGCCATGCCACCCCAGGGCATGTAGCAGAGCCGCCGGCACAGCACAGAGCTGGAGGGGAACACAGCCCTGGACTCTCCCACCCACTGGGCAGCACTTCCCACCCCTGATGTACCTTGAAGCCCTGGCACGAGGGGTGCCACGCGGCCCTGACTCAGAGCACCCACTGACTCACAGAATCTCCATGGCATCACACCAGGGCCACCACAGCTGCTTGCTGGCACTGGCACTCCAGGGTGCTGCCGGGGAGAGGGGAGAGCACAGGGGTGGCTGCCTGGGCCACAGCATGTGGGCTGTGTGAAGGTGCCCATAGGAGAGCATCCCCAAACTGCCCCGTCCCCCAGCCGCCCAGCACCGCCCAAGATGAGATGGCAACTCACCTCCTCTTGCTGCCAGATCACCTCCTGCGGATGGACAGAGGGATAGACGGAGGGATGAATGGCAGCCCCCAGCCCCGTGCTCAGCCACAGCCACTCCAGGTGCCAACGACTGTCTCAGGGCTGGCAGAGGGGCCGTAGCCAAGGCCAGGCGAGGCCAGGGCGAGCTCAGCAGCTCAGTGCCGGGGGTGAGATGCCGAGCGTGGCTCAGCCCAGCTCCCCACTGACTCCTCGGCACAAATGTTTCAGCAGGGGCTGAGTGCCTCCACGAGGGAGGTGGAGCTGGGGACGGCCAGCCACGGCCGCCTGGGCGTGTGTGCACGGCGTGTGTGCACGGCACACGGCACGGCCGACCGCCGACTGCCCGCACACGGAGCACGGCAACAAGGTCTCCATTGAGCACCGCAGGACGGGGGGGAGCCGGGGCCCGGCCGTTACCCACACTCCTGGCAAGGACGGCTCCCGACGCTGCACCGCAAGCGTGGCAGCCGGCATGGCTCCCAGGGCCTGGCAGCCCTGGCCGGGTGCCGGGACAAACGGTCTGTCAGGCAGCTCAGGCTGGATTTGGGAATGGACAGAGCCGAGGGAGGAGCAGGGAGGACACAAACGGGGCTGAGGAGAAGGAGCAAGCCAAGCTCCCGGAGTCGGCACCCCAAACCACAGAGCTTCCCTTGGTCCAGCACACCCCAGCAAACCCCACCTGCTCAGCGTCCCGAGGAGAGCCCAGAGCTAGTGCTGGTGCCAGCCCAGCCCTGCAGGACCCTACAGCCCCTGCCCTCTCACTTGGCATAGCACATACAGCCCTGGCACCCCCGGGTCCTCACAGCACAGGGCAGCGAATACCTGTGTGCCCCCAGTGATGGACGAGAGCCCCCCATTCCCTCTCTGCGCACCAGCAGCTCCCCCAAACCCTTTGCCTGGATGCCCACCAGTGCTCCTGGGCTTGCCCCACACGGGGCCCAGTGAGCCACAGCCCAGCTGGAAGCGTGGTGACCCACAGCCCCATGGCAGCACCAACCCACAGGACCCCCGCAGCAGGCATGGGGACACCCACAGCCCAAAGGGGATGGGGTTGGGGACAGGATGCGTCCAGCCTCACACAGCCCCGAGGGACCACATCCCAGCTGCATCCCAGCTGCATCCTGGTTGGTACCTGGGCCTCAGCCTGCCGTGACATCTCCTTAGCCCAGCGTGGGGACATGCAAGCCCCCACGGCCGTCCCGGGCACACGCTGTCCCCACGCACAGAGACACCCCGACCCGCATCACCCACGGACACACGCACCCCACGGATGACACACGCACCGCACGGACACGCTCCTCACCTCCGCCGCGGGGCTCGCATCCTGTCCCGGGCCGGGCACCGCCGCACCGCGCTGGGCAGCGCCGGGCCGGGCACCGGCGGTACCGGGCGGCACCGGGCCG